TATATATATATATATATATATATATATATATAAAACAAAAGGAATATAGATGAAAAAGGAGGGAAGGATGAAAGCAATATGACATTCTTCCGACCACAAACAAAAATGAACTAATAATACCTATAACAGGAATATAGTACTTGGCGATCCAATCTAGATGACACAAACCTCCCCTCAACATGTTCTAAATTATTATGAAGGAAAAGAAAAAGAAATAAAAGTTAGGAGCTATTTCTCAAATACTTAACTGAATAAATGCTTACAAAGTCATATTACCTTACCGGATGCATATGACAGAAACCAATAATCTTACTCGGTAAGAGCGAAGGCAAAAACCGAGAGTCTTACCCGGTAAGTGAGGACGGCCACTCTTATCATGGTTAACATTTACCGAGTAAATTATTACATACAATACCGTTTTAGTGAACCAAAATTTTATTTAGTAAATAAGTGATAGTGTTGAATTTTGCCCGTAAAGACTTACTCAGATAAGCATTTGGTAAACGATCCATTAATCAATATTAAATAAGAATTAATCCGTATTTGTATTGATTTATTGTGTATAATGACTTAATTTAAAAAGGAAAAATACAAAGTTAATGTGATATTATTCTTATTTAATGATTTGCCAGAAAAATTGGGTTTGTCTTTTTCTTTAATTTTCTATATTTTGGTGATAAGAAATCCACTTCAACCCCTGTAAACTCCACCCCACATGCACGTACCTTGTCTTCTCACTCTCTCACACACACACACGCCAAACACATGCATATATACACACAGAGCCATAGATGTAGCGTGTCAGACTCAAAATAAATGTCTACCTTTCTGTGCTTGCTTGCAGCTTCCTTGTTATTGGTCTCCGGCCATGTGACGGTGAATGCCTGTCCGCCGGCAGACAGGGCGGCGTTGCTGGCCTTCAAAGCTGCCCTTCATGAGCCATATTTGGGCATCTTTAACTCATGGACAGGTTACGATTGTTGTAATAAATGGTACGGTGTTACTTGCGATCCATCTACTAAACGCGTTGCCGACATAAATCTCCGTGGAGAGTCTGAAGATCCGATTTTCCAGAAGGCTCGCCGGACTGGTTACATGACCGGTTCCATTTCTCCGGCAATTTGCAAGCTGGAACGGTTATCAACTGTAATTATAGCAGATTGGAAGGGGATTTCCGGTGTTATACCTCCCTGTATCTCCTCCTTGCCGTTCCTCCGCATTCTCGATCTCATTGGCAATCAAATATCCGGCGAAATTCCTTACGATATCGGCAAGCTTAGTCACCTGATGGTCCTCAACGTTGCTGATAACAAAATCATCGGTCGAATTCCGAGGTCGCTGGCGGATCTGTCCTCTTTGAAGCATTTGGATCTCAGAAACAACATGATTTCGGGAACAATTCCACGAAACATCGGGAAGCTTCGGATGCTGAGTCGTGCTTTGCTGAGCGGTAACAGAATTTATGGACCTATACCGGAAACAATTTCTTACATATATCGTCTCTCAGATCTAGATCTCTCGTTGAATCGTCTCTCCGGACCGATTCCTGAATCACTTGGAAAAATGTCGGTGCTAGGGACACTGAACCTGGATGCAAACATGATTTCCGGCAAGCTACCGGCTACGTTACTGAGCTCCCGAATTAGCATCTTAAACCTCAGCAGAAACGCGATCGAAGGCAGCATACCGGACTTCTTCGGGCCTAGATCCTACTTCATGATGCTGGATTTATCGTATAATAAGTTGAAAGGAGCGATTCCTAAGTCCATATCTTCGGCGTCGTTTATTGGCCACCTTGATCTGAGCCATAACCACCTCTGTGGTAAGATTCCGGCGGCCTCGTGGTTGGAACACCTCGAAGCATCGTCGTTTACTTACAACGATTGTCTGTGTGGAAAGCCTCTTAAAGCTTGTTAATTATAATATTGATTATTTAGCCGCCTCGCCGGTCATTGGTGGTCGTCGTCGGTGGTGGTTGCCGTTTTCAGGATAGTTATTTCAGTTACTGTTGGTAGTTGGACGAGCTTTTACGATGTCGTTTATGGTGGTTACATAACTCTGTTATATGTATGTGTATGATCACTTTACAGTTTATATATAAAAGGGGTTGGTTTTTAATGATTTAATTCGACTTACCACGGTAACCACCATATCAAAATTAAAATGCACAAAAAAAATATATTTTTTTTACATTTTTTTTACATTTTTTTTATAAGACAAACAAAATTTGTTAGATCATAAAGGAAAAATACATTAAAATACGAAACTTTAAACTTAGAGGCTATTTACCAAATGGTTATTCGGGTAAGTGAACATCAGGTCACGTTATTTTACCGGATGAATATGGTAAAGACCAAGAATTTTACCCGTTAAGAACGAGACAATGGCCAAAAGTCTTACCCAGCAAATGAAGATGACGACTCTTATCACGGTAAGCACTTACCGGGTAAATTGTTGCATACGATACCGTTTTGTTGGGCTAAAATTTTACCCGGTAAGTAAATGATAATGTCAAATTTTACCAGTAATTGCTTACTCGGTAAGTGTTTGGTAAACGGCCCCTTAGATTCTGGAAGATGTAGTCGAAATCAAGCAAGATAGACAAAACCAAACCTAGAAGAGAAAAAAGGAGACAAAACCGAGTGATCAAAGAGCTCGTGACCTCCATAACCCTAGTAACTAAAATTAACAGAAAGTCATGAAGTTCCATGAGATTTAAGCGTTTTGACTGTGACAAAGATGGTTACCAAAAGAGAATACTAGATCGGCTCGATTTCTTTAGATCAAATAATAACAATACAAATTGTAAATTGTACCACTCTAAGGGTGCGTTTAGTATGCAGACTACATGGGATAGGACGGGACAAAAAAAAATAATCTCATGTTTGGCATGCTATGGACAACAAAAAACATGGGACAAGGTGAGACTATTTTTAATTTTAGTGGGACAAATCTTGATATTTTTTGTTCCACCAAAAAAGGTGGAACAACATGGGACTAAATTTAAAATGACAATATTTTGATTGATTTATTGTCATTTTACAATCATTATATGATATAAAATAACATTGAACAACATTTAGGGGTAATATAGTCATTTTTAATAGTTTTGTCCTATCCTGTCCTAGTCGTACCAAACATAGAACAGACAATTAGTCCTATCCCGTACCGTCTCGTCCTGTCCCATCGAGTCTGCGTACCAAACACTACCTAAACAACGAAGATGGGGTTACCCAATTTAGAATTTCCAAAATGTGGTTGAACGTTAACAGGGACTACAAAGACATTCCACACCCTCTCCAAAAGGTTTCCATATATGGAAATGATTAGAAGCTGAAAATAAATATAAAAATACATTTTAACAATTATAAAAGCTGAGTTTATAATAAAAATAATAATAATAATTAATAAACCCCTTTTACATTTTCGTTTATCTGATTTTAAAATGTAAATGGATAACCACAAGGGTGGTGCCTGATTGGTTTGAGTTTGACTCTAAAGGTCAAAAGTACAAGAAGATCATAGATTCTCAAATTCAATGAGAAATAAAAATCTCCTTGTGGCCACGGAGGTTCAAATGCGGTGACTCCGGACTATCTGCAAAACAGACAATCGTCCTGTGATTAGTCAGCTTGCATAGCGGGTTGGATATCCAGATTAATAAAAAAATGTAAATGGATGGAAAACGATGTATGGCATAACATAAATACATCTTTCTTATATAGAAACATTTCATTAATTTTCAGTATCCTTTATGTCACAAATAGACTACCAATGATTTTATTTTCTGTTGAAAAACATATATTAAAATTAAATTCAATAATAGGGTTGATAAAGAAATTAGTATATATATTTTTATTAGATGATATTATAAAAAAAAACCAATAATAATTAAGTTAAACCTGATTAAAATAACACTAAAAATCGCACGTTGGTAATTACCGTAAGATGGATTTGGTTTTTTATTAACTGTATTTTTATATTGATTGTTAATATAATAATTGTATTAAAATATAGTTTTAAAATACAAAAGCATATATTTTTATGTCTTTATTGTAACGTTTATTTTCTGTTTTCAATAAATAGAAGATCGTCTTGCAAAGGGGTATCATTTAAAAACTTTAAATTCTATAAAAATTTGTGAGAAGTTTTTTCTTTAATTTGTTGTTTTACATGAATTTTTTCCACCTAAACATAGTACTTAATGTATTGATCACATATATTTGTTTGAGTTATGTTTTATTTGTTTACAAAGTAAAACTTTTTAACGTATAATTTTGTTTTAAAAATATATCAAATAGGTTCACATTATGAACTGAGTACATATAAAACAAATATATATATATATATAAAATACCATATAATATAATACATGATAGCGTAGAAAATTCTCAAAAGAATGTAGCATTGAAAAAACACACATTTTGTGGCATGAAATAAGGATGAAAAATAGAATATAATTAAGATTTTATGTTGGAAACTATGACCTGGATGCCAACGATGCAAGTGTTGTTGATGGAACAAGTGGCAGAATAATTGAATGTAGAATCTGACGACGTGGCATCCAGGATGATCGCGTTGGGTCCCACGTATACCGTAATTAATCATGCATTAAACAGAAAATCTTGCAAGATCTTTTATAAATAATTCAAGTACTCCATTTTATTTATATTTATTTGGTACCATTAACATCTTAAAAAATCCTCATAATATAGATTTGATCATGTGAAATTAGATTGCTTCGTGGATGAAATTATATTTGAACATTCACAACAAAATACTGTGATGCTATACTATACGTTTACAATGTTTTTATTGTGAAGATTTATTTATGTTCACAATATTTTGACTACGAAATTTAATTGTTATTTTGTGATATTACAAATCTCAGGACATATGCAAATAAAATAATATTTCTTGACACAAATGGGTGTATATTGGGCTGATCCTCTCTTTAGACCCAATGGCCAGCCAGAGTGATTACCATACTGAACGGATTTGGGCTGTTATTTTAAACTGGGCCTGATATTGTTCTTGGACTTCTAATGAGCTTAATGAAACGATGGAAGAATCATAGGCCCAGAAATATTTAATTGTTTAATATCGGTGATGGCCAAACCGAGCCCGACCCGGGACCGTTGGAGGACCGCTACCGGGACCAGCCCGGCCCGGTCAGAACCGGTTATGGGACCGTCGGTTATGGTTTTTGTCGGATTTGTGGGACCGGGACCGGTTATGGACCGGCTCGGCCCGACCAAAAGTATTCAAAAAATTTGACCGTTTTTTAATATAGCCGTTAACTAGCCATTCTGACCCCTTTTTTGTATTTTTTTGGCCTCTAAACACTATAAATATGTAACAAGGTTGAGAGATTTACATACCAAGTTCTCAATTCGCAAAAGACGCAAAAAAACATTTACAATTCTCGGTTTCTCGTTAAATTTTGTGAATTCGACTCGTATTCATTTCTCGTTTCCACTTCACAATTCGCATTTCTTTTCTCATTGTCTTACGAAATGGTCGGTGAATAACATGATGCATCAAACGAACAAGTTGCCCAAGTTCTCGCCGAACACGGACGAAAGTCCGAGATTTGAAATCACTACAACTTGGTGATCCTCACGAACGGGAAAAAAAAGGCACAATGCAAAATGTGTCAAACTCTTCTTACGGCGGAAGAAAATTCTACCTTAAGAAAGCACACCAAAAAAACATGCCCGGGGTTGAGATCGGAGGGGGGGGGGGTTCAAGCCAACCAATACTTTACACTCAAGGTCAAATATGGTTGTATGATGCCGAGTTGATAACAATTTGGGTGAATAAATATGTATGCGCATACTAAACTTTATGGCCGCATGCCCTGCAAATGATATCGAAGATTTTGAAAAAAAATTGACTTATTAAATTTTTGGAAACAAAAAAACCTCAATTCCCGGTTTTGGTGTGCATCGCACGTGATATACTAACAATCCAAGCTAGTATCGTAGCTTCGAATTCTGTTTTTTTTTTCTCTTAGTGGCAGGATCATTCGCATACGTTGGACAAGATCAAGCCCGTAGTCCGTGAAGTGTTGCATCTGTTTGAAAGATTATTTGGATATAGTTGATAGAATTCAACACACGACATTGTTAGAGATGGAGATTGAAGTGGTGAAAGAAAATGAAATCGCCATGGGACTAAACACGCCGCCAACTACTGAAACCAACGGCACTTACTCACAATATGATGATGATGAGGAAGTCGACATTGATAATCTTGATAACCAATAGACTATTAGAAAAATCCAAGACACCGGAACTCTTCAAATCAATGCGACATGGGATACCAATGAAGATTGTTGAATAAATGTATTTTCAAATAATTTTATAATAAATTTTTGTAAGACAATGTAATTTTAATTATAATAAAACGTATTTTTAAAGTTTATTTGAGTGACCCGTATGACAAATTTTATAATGTATTAAAAAATATATATCATTAAATTTATTTTTTTTAATTATGGGACTGGCAGCCCATAACCAGTTGTAAACTAGCCTGATTGGTCTTCACCTATTCGACCGGGACCGGTTTACAAAAGGACCAGTTATAGCCGATTTTCAAAAAGTGTGGGACCGGTTGGGACCGGACAAGCCCGGCCTGTTCCAAGACCGGTTTTTGGCCATCACTATTTAATATGCACTTCGCGCTTATTTCCTAGATTTTTTTAATTCCATGCCAACTCTTAAGGGTGTTTGGTGGGATGAGATTTGGTTTTAGAAGGATTAGAATCTTTGGTGTGTTTGATTTGTACAAATTGGATTGGACTTGAATTTCATTATTTACAAAAAAATTACAAATAATTAAATTATCTTTTTATTAATTGATTATTATAAAACAGATGTTTTTACATAATTTGAAATATTATTTCATACAAATTCTGTGTAATCCCAAGAAATACCAACCAACCATATGTGATTTCACAATCATATGTTTGTGGGATTTAAATAAATTCCCGGGATTACAAATCCAAGAAAATTTTCAAACCAAACATGATATCGGAACAAAATTCAAATTTAAATCCTCCAAATCAGATCCAATCACGCAAACCAAACGGAGCCTTGGGCTCGTTTATTTTGACAGAGT